GGTGAGCTGAGCTGCAGAAGGTGTCAGAATTCCATTAGTATTTCAAACTCCATCCCCCATCAACACATCAGAGATGCCTACTGGGGTTAACCATTCAAGCACCACAAGAACTCAGAGTGAAAGATGCAACACTATTAAAAAATATCTGAAGCAGATATTATTGTTTCATAAACTGATTGAAGTCAGAAGAATGCAAGAAAAAAAAAATGCTGCATTTGCGACACAATTTCACTTGCCAGATGAAGGTGGCAACAGTTAGCCTATGCTGAATTTGACTAAATGTCCCTCCTTTATCAATTTTTCATGCCCATACCATCCTGCTGAAGCTTGCAGTGGAACTGCAGTTAATATTACATTTGCACATGACAACATCATTCCTTGGTGCAGTTGTTTACGTCTCAAAGTTTGTTATGGCACAACTCTATGTAACAGGGCAAGCCGCAGTGAGTGAGAAATGCTTCACCACAAAATGCTACAAAATAAGAGACCGGGCAGAAACCCAGTAATCATAAAGGTAGCCAAAATCTTGCTTGTTGGTGCAGACTCAAATTCAATTTGCGTTGCTGATGAAGGAGCTGCCAAACATTGTGGTAAGAGGGGATTTGTCTTCAAATTCAAATCTGTACATTGGGCGATATTAAAATCACTAATGTGTGTGCACCAGTAACAGGGGCATCAGTACCATCAGTACCACAGGTTCCACAGAACGGATACTGTACAGAACACGTGTAGTACTGCAGGAGAAAGGGTGTTTATGGTTAGTGTTTTGAATAGACTACATACTGAACAGCTCTAAAGAATTCCATTGTTTCACAATGTATGCTTTTCTTTTTTTTTACAACAAACCACACTCTCCACGGTTGCTTACATTGAAAACTGAAAACTTGTTTGAAAAACCAAAGTAAGAGATTTAAAGCTAATGCCCATAATAAACTGAAATCAGTTTGTAATTAAAGAAAGATGCACATAGCTTTCTGTCATTCCGCAAGTGCTGAATTTATTTTTATTTACTTACAAACTGTATCTTAAACCAAATGACAGATTCCATCTCGGAGCACTTTTCTTTCTTTAATCCCCCTGAGTGCAAACATGCGTGGGCTCATCTCCCTGGGGATGAGGAGGGGGGGGAAGTCTCCGGTTTCAGGCAGCAATGCAGGCAGGTCAGAGGGCAGCCTTTATAATGATCTAATAGAGGACGCCTGTCAGTGTCCTGGCATCTCAGTCACAACTCCCAGGTCACAAGCGCCAAGCCACAGCTTGACATGGAGCCAACTCCTTTACCACAGTAAAACACACAAGTGTTGCTGTTACAACATTACAAAAAAAAAAAGCTTAAACACAGAGAGAATTCAAGGGTAGACATGACCTTTCTATCACCGTCTGAAATGTTTCAGATAAACAAACACTGATATCCACGATGCAAGTTGCACAAACCCAATCGTGGTAGTACATGTTTCTCCAAACCAGACTGCGTCTCGTTTCAGATGCCGGGTCTTGGCAATTAGAAAAACCTAATCACAAATGCCTCAGAGCATTTCAATAAATGGATAATATCCTTCTGAGTCAAAACAAAACTTCCAATTTCCTGTGGGATGCATGAAAGGGCTGGTGGAAAGTGTTTTAAAAGCAAATGTCAGCTGAATGACAAACCAGGCCACAGAACGGTAGTTTCAGCCATTGCAGGAAAGCTTTCAGACAGTCAGTCACCACAGAAAACTACATTATATACCCAACATCTCCTGATCCGAATAGCAATAACTCTGGGTAGAGCTGCTGTAATGAGAGAAATGTAACGCAAAATGGATTCTCATGGTTGTGTAAGAAAGTTAAGTAGCTCACGCAAAAAGTTGTAAAGGCACTGAGTACAATTTTAGAGTTTGAAACAAAGCATGACTTAATGATCAAACACTGGCTTTGTCTTGTTTCCCTCATTGCTTGTTGTTGTGCGTTCTGAGCGATTCAAGTCTGCTCACCAGGCTGCCTCTGGCTTTCACAAGTTTTATTGCTGATACAATTATCATCACTGCAAACTCACACGTAATAAAATCTCCCTACAACTGCAAACTCAGGAGCAGAAACAATCACTTACTGCTCAAATGAGAGAAAAAAAAATAATCAGCTTTATAGTTTGTGAGTTGTTATTTCTGAACAGATCAGGCTCAACTTTGCAGATGATTAGTAGAATCAAAGAATGCTAACGTTTAAAAGTTCCAAAGGTGCAAAAATGTTCCATCATGCCATTTCTTCAGTTTACAGTGTCAGCAAGACACTATAGCTAAAAGACAGGAGTTTTATTTAACTGTGTAAAGTATAAAGTAGTGGTGCCGTGTTAATGTTGCTGTGCTCTCTCTGTCAACTGACTGGAAGGCTGCTGCTGCTCTTGTACAATAACTTTTCCATATCATTTTAGCTACATATGAACCACCAGACGATACAACTCTTAAACTATCAGGTTGAAAACTTTTTGAACAAATCAGTGTAATAACGCAGAAATAAAATACTACACTAGTATCCAACTTTAGAAGTATTCTGAAAAAAAAAGAAAAAAAAAAGAAAAAAGGTATCTGCATTTTAATAAACAAAAACACTGCTTGGCTCTGACTCCGTTTGGCCCATCAAGCAGCAGCTTTCCTCCGCACCAAATTGTTTTTCTTTTTTTTTTTTTTTTAATTCATCTTCCCTTTGAGTTCTGCATGACAAGATAGAAACTACCTCACATCTTGTTCAGAAAACATTTAGTGATACTTAGAGCAAAAATAAAGGGGTCCTAAACATTCTTTGGAAATAAGAGCTCATGCTCAGCCACTTGTAATTTCCCCGTACAGCTCTGGCCCCCTTCTTACTCTTGATACAACCCACCACCCTCTTTAAATCTTGCCGACCTCTGCTAACCTCCCTTCTTTAACAGCCTTTAAGGCTGGATACATGGGTGTGAATAGGTGGTATTTCAGCATTACTAGGGGCACTAAAGAACGGAGCTGGCTGGCCGGGGGCCAAATCCCCATGGTTACCCTGGTGCAGCGACTGCCTCTTTCCTGTGTGAGCCCGCCTGTGACTAAATCACCTCTGCTCTGCATGCATGGGAGACCTGAAGGAGTCGAGATGAGTTAGGGTGGCAATCATTACAGAGTCTTGCACACCTCTGAACCACCCCAGCAAATAAGTAGCAGATTTGCGCTTTAAAGTGAGAGCTTGCATGGGGTAGAGACAGGGCATGAAAAAAAGCAAAACCCTAAAGCCACTAGTTCTTCTTGGGATGAATCCCATATTACCCCTTGACCGTCACTTTTAGCCGTTCACCAAGGGTAGGGCGTCCCATGTCAAATGGCTTAGTAGCCTGTACAAGCTAACATTTTACAAGGGCACACATGGAAATAAAGGGGTAGGACCTGTGCTTGCAAATACACTCAAAAATAATTTCTTAAACATCATACAAGTGAATGGTTCACTGAGCTCTGTAATGACTAGTTTGAAGTGTTTCAATATTTTGTTGATTATTATTGTTAATTTAATAAGTGCAAGGAGTAGCAGTCAGTGTAAAATATTTTTGCTCCAACAAAAATGATTAGACTGATACCTTTTCTGTATAATTTCAATTCTTCTCAATAAGGGGAAAATGATTTCCGTTTAAAATATTTCATCAAAACAAAACAAAAAAGCAACTGTAAAGTCTACGCTGATGATTCCTGATAAGTTGCTAAAATGGGGGAAAAAAAAAAAAGCAAAGCAGCAAGACATCTTTAAAATACTTGATCATATTTGCAATACGACTTAAGCTGAGTGAATCCAAGATGCATTAGGCCCAGTATGACGTTTCCAAAGTCAGTGAAGATTTGGGGTCCTAGTTCACAGTTTTATTACATCCAAAGTTAGTGGAGTCATACACCCAGAAATTTAAAGAACTTTCATGCTTGCCTCTGCAAGCATGAAAGTTCTTGGAGCTGAAAGTTTATGGAGATGTTGATTTTAGGAGACGGATCCTGTCCTCACTACCAACCAGTACCTGGTTTGAAGACCATGGCATCACTCTGCTTGGTTGACCAAGCAACACCACCTGACCTAAACCCCATAAAGTATGTATGGAGTACTGTCAAGAAGAGTATGGACGAAACAGCACATCTTACAGTGTATATGAACTGAAGACAGCCATTAAACCAACCTGGTCTTTCTTAATCCGTCAGCATATCACACACTCAATGCCATCCACCTTTGATCCCTGTCATTTATGCAAGGATTCCCGACAAAGTACTGAGCACATTAACTGCAGGCTAACCATTCCTCAATCAAAATATGCATATTTTGTGCTCTTACATAAAATAATTCTGAAAAACCACATATTTTGGGTTTAATTAGCAGCATCCAACTAAAAGAACTTGCTCAAATTAATGTAATTTCAATTATATTCAGATTTTTTTGAGGATCACCTGTTTTTGTAATTCAACAAGTGGTATCAAACTCTTGAAGGAGTGTCATTTTTTTGTAAAATGTTTAACACCTAAATTCCATGTCACGATACAGAGGAACTGATATTGGTCAGGGAAATGGGATTCAGCAATGAGCAACACAGAGTTTCATTGGTGCAACAATTTACCCCCCACCCCTTGCATAATCTCTGTCCTGATGGTGTGATAGCACATGATTTAACAACACTCTCACATTCAACTGAAAGTAACAGATTGTTGCTTCTGCATACTGAAAGAAAACCAGAAGACATGGTATCACTGGATTTTCTTTTCGTGTGAGACCTCGTTATCTTTTCTTTGGAACTGAAACAAATCTGATACGCACAATCAGATCAGACTTTTTTTTTTTTTTTTTAGCAAACAACATCCTAAATCTAACACTTACCTTTTATTTCCCCCCCAAGTTTGACATGAGCAAAGAAAGGAAGATATTCCGATAACATTTTCATTCCAACAACCCCCGCCATCACTGGCTATGACTCATTCAGGTAGTGATGAACCAGCCTGGTCCCAATTAGTCTTTTTCCACTTCCTTACCTTTGACTTGGCTCTCATAGTCTGCGATGATTTCTTTATCCTTTTTGAACCTCGGTGTGGACATTGCTCCCCTCTTCTTTGCGCTCGAAGCTCGTTGGAAAGTTATTGGGAAAACTGTTTGTCAACAACAGAGCGGAATATCCTACAGTAGCGGACGCATCCTGCCCGTGAGGAATGAACGGCAGAGCCAGAGAATCCGCGTCAAGAAAATGACTATGTGAAGATATTCAACTCCAGCAGTGACGTTTGGAGCGAAGAAAACATGAGCCTTTACTACTGCAATGTTCCTCTTCCCTCCGAGGTGGATACAGACAAGAGCCAATGCGCAATCCTCTCCCAACCAATGAGTCTCCGTAGCACGGAGCAACAGCAGCGCTGCAGGAAAAACAAAAAACACAAAAAAAAAAAACAAGCAGAAAACAGTCGCGCAAGTTTCAGGGGGTCTCTGTTAGAGAAGTGGCTCCAACAGCCCGACGAGGGAAAATGCCTCGCAAGTCAACTTTAGTCCGTAGAGAGCGAGCTTTTTTGGAAATGGTTGCCCAGTCTGGGACACGCACACGTTACCCCACCCGCTTGCTTTCCCCACGACGGTTTGTCCACCCCCTCCACCTCCTCTACCTCCAACTCCCAGCACGCTCCGAAGCAGACAGGGCAGGCCGAACTGCAGCAGCTGGAGGCAGGCAGGAACACAGAGCAGGAGAGGGGGGTGGGTGGGATCTGCTCTCTCACTCACTCCCTGCCAGTGGACACAAGTGACACTCATGCCTACCCCCCCGCCCCCCCCAAAAAAAAAAAATTAGATTAGATTTACGGTGAGATTGTGCAAAGTATTTCATTAAAAAAATAAAATAAAATTCTAGAGTTACTGCTTGGATCAAGACATTGCACTCATTAAAAGATTAATGAGTAGGATCAAGGGGAACTTTATTGATAATGTTTATGTAACACTGCTGTATTTCTTAAATAAATAAAATCTACAGGCTGTTCTAGTGCTGGAGAAGGCCGAGCTTGACAGAAGCCCCAAATTCCTCCTTGGCTTAAGGACACACTGAATCCAATAGATTCTTGTTTAATTTCTTGGGTGAAAAGTTTAGTTTTTCCCAGAGTTGAAGCAGCATCCGCTGAAGCTAAGCTAAACCAGAGCGCCATCTTGAGGCAAATTTGAAGCACAGTTGATCGAGTATGCTAGCAATACTGTCTGTGAAAAGGAACAGGGTGTAGAGAGCTTTATCGATTAAGTTTGAATGGCCAAACTCGCTGCATCTAAACCTCAGATAACAAGAGCAAGGCAAAGAACCTCGTGAATCATGTCACCTATGTTTGGGAATCCCATGGAAGAGTCTGGCTTGGCTGTTGCCAGGAGGATGGCACTTGCCTGACAACACTGTCAACTTTAAAGTTTGGTACCGAGGGACTGTTCCAGTTCCAACTCTCAGGAGTTGGGGCGGATTCTTGACTCCAATGGAAAGAACTTCTAATACTGTTGCGTATGAAAACACTCGACAAATATTATGCTCCCAACTATGGAGGAACAGTTTGAGGTTTGGCTACTTCCTGCTCCAACAATGAGTGCAAACCAATGGATGAAGCAATGTCATAAAAGACATGGATGAGCAAGTTTGGTGTTGATATAAATATGCACTTTAATATTTTGGCTGTATGCTTTAAGTAAAACCATAAATCAAATCAATCAATCCATCCCCTTTTATACAACACTCCACTTTATTTAATTGCACCATTTCAAAAGGTCCATGCAAAGCAGAACTAAAATAAATAGAAAACTTAAACCTCAAAATATTAACAGTTGAAACATCTAAAAATCAACAACAATTTTTAAGCTTCTCATAATAAAAAATGAACTGTATTTAAAGTTTTTTTCCCCCACACAAAATCTAAATGCATATTAGTGTTTTTTCCACACATAATGTTTAGTAGATTTTAAAAATCACAGTTTCCAGTGTATAAGATACAAAACAAAACAATATTAAAAAAAAATAAAATAAAATAGGGACTCTGAAATGCAAAGGCAGTTTACAATTTGTGATTTCTAAATGCCTGTACATTCCACAGCTGTAAACATCTCAATAAAAATATACAGAATTGATACAAATAACAGCAAGTTTACGATTTGACAACAGAAATGTTTTTTTTTCCAAGACCAGCCTCAGAGAGTACATCACCAAGTTCACTATGTAAGTAGTACACCACTTTTTTTTCTGCCACAAACAGCATAGATAAAAAACATTTATTGTTAACCATGTTAAGATTTAAAAGCACCAGTCAGACAGTTTTGAAGAAATTCTCTTCAATGACCTCAGTGAACCTCTCCTTCATCTGCTGACGAAAACCAGAGTACCATTCGAGCAGCCTCCTCCTCCGGTCCACCCTTTGCTCCTGACTTATTCCTCTTTCCCTCTCCAAGATGGCTGGCAGCTCTCTCCAGTCGCTGACGAAGATGAAGGGCGCCCCCGCTGCTTTGAGGAGACGCAGCGGGGAGCTGGGACCTGCAGCGCAGTTGCCAGGAGTGAGAACGTCTTCCACCACGGGCACCGAGCCGTAGGAACACGCCTCATAGATGCGGTAGCACTCTGTGTTGATCCCCACCGGGCATAGAGTGAGCTCGCTCTGAGCCAGAGCCGTCTGATAGCGCCTCAGACTTTCAGTTGTTTCCTGGGGAACCCACCTAACGCAAGAAAGGAGAACAGATTACATCATCAAAATGTGCACAAACCACCTGGAAATCGATGCTTTGAAAAGTTAGGCAAATATCATTTTGAAAATTACAACAAAACTGACAATGTCGTGATTTAAAGTGTTTTCATTTAAGAGGCTTTAAATCCTAAATAAGCAGAGGGATTTTCAGTGGATTTCAACACTGAAATATACCGCATAAAAAAGTGAAGGTAAAAACTTTAACGTCACTTTAATATGGCAAGCTACAAGCACCACAGGCCAACAAATAAAGAAATAAGTCATGGGATGAATATAAATGCATGTTCATTTTAATAAGATTGAATTCAAATTTATTAGGTGGTAAAAATCATAGGGTTTTGATTCTAAAGGCCTCAGTAGTTATTAAAGCTTCTTAACAGCTTTAAGCTGAAAGGGAAACAAAATAAATCCAGTTGGCTTTTATGCTTATTAAAGATTGTACACCCTCTCACAACATTAGCATTTTTAACATACAAGTAATATGGTCTTTTCGAGGTTCTACCATTACTTAAGTCTAACATTTAATTAAAAAAAAACACGCACCACAACTTCCACTATAGAACAAATGCAAGGAGGAAGCTAAAATGAAAAACTTTGAGAAAATAAAGTGAACTCTAAAAATCCGAGACAGTAAATATGTGAAACCATGGAGGCTAGAAGAGGGCACCTTTACTTCATTAAGCTTGCTGACATCATTAAAGATATATGTCATTCTCACCAGTCCAAGCTCTTACTCCAACTGATACAAAATTAACATTTTCTTTCCTCAAACTATGCATTACTCATGTTTTCTAATTGAATGTGTTCAGTTGTTTGCAGATTGTTTCATTCTGCTTTTAATTTCTAGACTGCCCTTGGACTTATGGGCTCAGTCAAGCTGGGGTGGATTATATATTTCTTCTAAATCATGATATGCAACCACAAAACAGAGGCAGATATAGTACAAGCAATGAAGTGATAAAAACCGTTCTAGTTTGTTCATCTATAAAAAATAAGTCAAGACCTACTTTTCCCTGGCAGTGGTGAGGCATTCCTTATCTAGGCCAGACTGTTTCAGCACATTCATCAGTACTTCCCTGGAGGAATTTTTGTAAACAGTACCCAGGAAGTTGCAGAGGTATGGCCGATTAGAAGTAATCAGCTGTGCATTAGGCCTGATCATAGGAAACTCTCTGTATCTGCACAGAAACACAAAGACAACAGCAGCAGAATTGCTACACAATCATGTTCAGTTACAGAAGACAGGCTCACAAAACTGGATGTGCCACAGTAAGGTCCTTGCATATGTATTAGATTAAAAAGAAAGGACATACGTGGCAACACCGAGGGGCCACTGGAAGACGTCCTTGTCATTGACCCACGGGCTGTCGTAGATCAGGAACAACAGATCCACAAATCCGCCGTTTGTCTTTAAGTGCGGGGCGATCCAGTCATTGTTGCATTGCTCATTGCCCAGCAGGACCACGGCCACATGGGACACTGTATTAGACTGAACCAGGGCTTGAACATGCTCCAGCCACCTCGTCGAGTAAGAAACTTTCTGCTGCTCGCGACCGTTGAGAATCAAAACCAGGCTGTTCATTTCCAGGGGAACGTGTCCCTGAACCACTGCTGGGCCGGTGTAGAAACTGAACGCAGAAAAAGTTGGTTGGTAACGAGAACGAGTTCATCGGTTTTCTTTTATCTTCCAGTGGCCAAGACATGAAATGAAGTATGTCAACACTAAAAATCTAATCAGGGAGTTTTACCTGAAATCAACTTTTCCAGACTGAATCTCCCCTTCCCTCCACTGTGCCACCTTGTCAGTTGGGTTAAGGGGTCCTTCTAAAATATGTTCCCAAAGGTACAGCCCTGAGGAAAATGTAATGCAACATTTCATATTTTTTTTAAAGTTAAAGCTTCCCTTTCTAAAAAATACACCATCATTCATTTGGCACTCAACTAAAAAGCTGTAAAGACAATGGATATAATGTATCCAAAAGAAAATATAAGATAATTCTTCTATTAGAAATTTTGAATAGGATAAAAAAACACCATTAGGTAAAAATTTTTTATTGTGGTCCTGTTTTATTTTGGGAAACTAATGTAGACCAAAAATAACAAACATTAGATGGTGTATAAACTGAGACTCACTTTAATTTGTGTGTTGGAATTAAATGTCGATGGGCATATTGTAAATAATTTATAATATTATGTCATTTGAAACTTAATATTCAAATGACACAATTAAATTGAAAGACTGCATGTACTTTTCCAATGTGTGCTTGAGCTGTATATGTTTGTACAGCAATCAATGTGAGAATTAATCAGAACAAAATAATCCAACGTTTTCAAAAGCTGCGCTGTTTAAACTTTGTTCATTTTTCCAGAGCGTACAATAGAAGTTTTTGCATGTTCTGTTATATTACGTATGACGCCTTTCCTTTTTCTGTGTGACCAAAAACTATTTGGTATTTTTTTTTATTTAGCTGCATTTACAGGTTTTTATACCCAGAACAACAAAGCGAGTACAGAACCACAACAGATGAACATTTGATCAGTCTGAGGAAAGCACAACAGAATCTAAGTTTTAAAGTTTAATTGTGGGACCTATTCAAAATGTAATAAAAAAAATACAATTTTAGCTTCAAAACTATTAACCATCAAAAACAAACCACTGAGTCTACCTGATTAATAATAGATTACTTACAATAGTGATCAAAGATATGAGCAGCCAATTATAGTCAACACTCACAGCAATTAAAACATCATATTACCCTTTAAAAAAAAATCTACAGTTGTGATCAGATGGTATCCACCCATCACAGTCATGAATATCATGTTAATTTTAGGATATATTTAAAATGCATTTGAAGTATTCTTTTAGGAAAATGAAATTATCAACATCAAACTTCAAATATTTTTAAAAACAAAAACTGAGTGTACAAGTTAGAATTTAATTCACACAAGTTCAAAAGTATTCTCCCAGCCCCAATTATAGTTGGTCAGGTTGCGACTCAAACTTCTGGGTTAATTATGGCTGAACATTTAACACATTTCTAGGACTACTACTACTAGAGTTCATTCAAACTGGATGGTTTCCTGTCGCAGAAGTGACTTCTGATTTTATAGCAATAATACCTAGCTGTTAGTATAATAGTTTTCGGATCTAGAAGCTTCTAAAGTATTTTTTATCACTGTGGTCAAACAGCTAAAACTCAGAGCTGTTCATCTGTGCAACTGCAACCTTTGACATCGAAGCCATTCTTTCTCAGTTAACAATCTCTCAATAAATGGGTCATTTATACTATAAGGTGACCTACCGATGGCAGCCTTCCCCCAGATTTGAACCTTGTATCTTTTGGGCTTGCTCCTGTCGATTCGAGCCATGTACTGTTTGAAGGCCTTTCTCTTCTTGTTCAGAGCAGAGTTGTACTCCACCTCTTCATCCTCCCACGGATTCCACTCATCTGCAACAAACGGGGCTCCATCTTTGACACCACCTAAAAACAAGACATGGTTTCACTCTGTTAACTATTCACTATATTTTTTGGAAGCATTTCCTGCAGCTCAGACAAAATAATGGCAGTTTTTTTGCATAAGTTACCCGCTGGTGCGTTACTCTCTTTCTTCACCACCCTGTGAACGCGGGAGATTACTTTATTGCTGAAGAACACATTATAAGCGGCATACAGCGAAAATGCCACATATGCAAAAATAATAAGAAGAAACAGCTTTCTTTTTGGTATTTTCATTTTCTTCTCTTAGCTCAGGTTACCATTGTGCGGCTAATCTCCGTATATTTTGCTCAAGGACCCTTGTTTACATCACAAGGACCCCTGCCTACAACTGACTTACAAATTGCCTGAGCTAAATGCGTTGATTAATCTAGACGAATCCAAATAAAGGCATCACTACATTTTGTTTTGGTTGTGCAGGTATATTTTAAAATAATTTTTTTTTGATAAAGTCATTTATTATGGGTGAAAGAGCAAGAAGAGCTCCTTGGTAAAATACGAAACCGTACCGTTACATAGACGGAAGTATTTCTGGAAGGGCAGATCAGAATAGTCCGCTCAAGCTACACGCAAGGTCGCGTCCCCAGCTGTGGGGTTGAGGTGTTTTTATTATTTGGACAAAGATGATGTCCACCGTTATTCGCCCGGGGGTCTTTTCCTCCTACTATCAAGTAACCAAACACGGTGTTAAAAGCCTGGTGTTACCTGGAGCCAAGGAGCTGCTGCCTGCTGCTGGTAAGGACGAACAGACACACTTGCCACCGGCGTTTCTTAGTTTTGTGACGTAGTTCAAAAGCTTCAGAAACTTTTATTTCCTTATATATTGTGTAGTTAGTGTCCCTGTAGAAAATGGAGATCTATTTCTTGTGAGTTAATGTAACTCTAATTTACAGTGCTTCGAAACAAGTGAATACAGCTAGCAGAATGTAGGTGTGATTTTGGAAAGTGCAATTATATGACCTGATTGAACAGATAAGACATGAAAAGAAAGTAATGCATAATTGTGAAGTGAACGGAAACTCATTCATGACTTAAAATTTTGTAAAAAAAATAAAAACAAATATGTGTGGTGTGCATTATACTCAGGAGAGACTGTTGAAAGGACATGTAGTTATTCACAAAACTGAGCTTAATAGAGGAACGTTTTAGGAATAAAATCATGACTAAAAGAAAACCACAAGAATTCCAATTTGCTATTTGTCATATGCCATTTAGGTGGCACAGCAAGTATTTAGAAAAAGTGTTAGGAAAGTTAACTTTGCACATCACCCTGTACACACCACCCCCACTGTGAAGCATGGTAGCAGCAGCATCCTGTTGTGGGAATGCACTAATTTAGCCAGAGACAAGGAAGTTGGTCAGAGTTAATGGAAACTGGTTGGAGCTAAACACAGGACCAAATAAAACCTGTTCATAGACTGCAAAGGACTTGAGACTGGAGATGAAGTTCATCTTCATTACTTGACATCCCTAAACACTAACCCAGAGCTACAATGGAACAGTTTATGTCAAAGGATACTTGTATGTTAGTAGTAAATGTAGGACTTTTCATCCATTTGACAGTCTAAACTTGTAGATTATCAAATCCAGTCTGACTACCAGAAGTCATCTAATTTCTAAAATCAAGATAACACGATATTTATAAGTCTTTATTGCTGAAAATAAGCAAATTTGCTTAAAGCCATCATGATACTAAAAGCACCTCATGATGCTTTTAGCATCACGAAGTAGCTAAATTGACTTGACCTGGTTTGTCTGCAGCTCCTATTTTAAGTATTTTTATTTGTGTCCAGCTCCAGCAGGAACCCGCCTTGCCCACACAGACATCAAGATTCCTGACTTCTCTGACTATCGGCGACCCGAGGTTTTAAATCCCCAGAAGTCCTCACAGGAGAGCAGTGAGGCCAGGAGGGCCTTTTCCTACCTGGTGACCGGAGTCACCACCGTAATTGGCGTGTATGCGGCCAAAACTGTGGTCACCCAATTTATCTCCTCCATGAGCGCCTCAGCGGACGTTCTGGCCTTATCCAAGATTGAGATCAAGCTGGGCGACATCCCAGAAGGCAAAAACATGACCTTCAAGTGGAGAGGGAAGCCCCTATTCGTCCGTCATCGCACCGAGAAGGAAATTGCGGCAGAGGCGGATGTGAATCTTGGAGAGCTGCGCGACCCCCAGCACGACAAGGATCGCGTGCTCAACCCCAAGTGGGTCATCGTTCTTGGAGTGTGCACCCACCTGGGCTGCGTGCCCATTGCTAATGCAGGAGAATATGGGGGCTACTACTGTCCTTGCCATGGTTCACACTACGACGCTTCTGGAAGAATTAGGAAGGGACCTGCTCCCCTTAACCTTGAGGTTCCCTACTACGAGTTCCCAGATGAAGAGACGGTTATTGTAGGATAAATACAAGAGATCTTTAAACTCCTCCCTCTAATTTAAATTTAATATGTTAGTTTGAGGGGGACATAAATGCAAGTTTGCTAATAGTATTTTGCAAAGGCGCCATTATGTCTTAAGTGATTCTTCACTTTCTCACTCATCATGATTTGTTTAAAATATTGCCTCTGCAGCAATAAAGTACTTTAATCATGAAATACTGTCATTTGTCAATGCTTTTAGTATCTAATAACACTTAAAGGTTTCATTGACCCACAGAGAGCCAGAAAGCAGGATGTAATTTTCCCGGAGAAAAGGTTATAGCAGGAGAATAAGTATAGAAGAGGCAGATCTGAAACAAAAGTGGAATTAATAACATTTAAGAATATTCTTAAAACAACCTGTGAAAACAATTAGCCAAGGGTTTTTTGAAAACACTCATTTATTAACAGGCAAGGCCATTAGGTAGTGCTAGTCATTCACATTTCATATTAGTTCATTAATAAATATTAAGTAGTGACTTCATTACTTCAATTAAGGCAATCGAATTCATTACACAGTGATATATTTCAAGGATGTTTGTTATTTACATGATTAATGGCTTATAGCAATGAAAACCAAACTTTAATGTCTCAGAAAGTGACGCCACGGCTCTTTTTGCATGAATCACTGCTGTCGTCTCATCTACCTCGTCATAAAACTCTACAGGTCTGTCCATGTCTTTAGATCAACCAATCCTTTTGACCATTAAACTCAGTGACACCATGGTTATTAAACCAGGTATTGGTACTTCTGGTAGTGTCGGCATATCTGTGAAGCTTGTCAGCAGAAGGCAGCAAAAAGTGCTCCAAAATTTGATGGATGCAATGACCTTAGACTTGATAAAATCCAGTAGATGCTTCTGGTGGTGTTTCTTAAGCAGGAGTTTAACACAAGGAAAACAATATTCGAGAAAAGGATATTTTTCCTTGTGTTAAAGCAGAAGTTTTTCTTGTACTACACACCCTGGGTACGTCTGTATTTAGTGGCTCTTCAAATACCGACTCCACCTGGTGACCACTCCCAGTTTGGAGTTCTTTAAATTGCCCCAAACTCTCAAAATGGCTTTACAATCTTATTAAAGTTCTACTAATCTCTGTTGCTTGTGCCTTTATCAACGTTGCCTTTGCCTTCCATTTAATTTTGAATTAATTTAAGTAGAACTAGCAATCCAAATTCTCAGTTTCTTTAAGAAACATTTTGTTGGCTACCAGCCTTGTGAAGGGTGTCGGTGGCTGTCTGAAGGACAGCTGTCGAGTCCACATCATTTCTGTATTAAAAATTATTTTAAACCTATCCTATTTTTTTTGTTCTAATTTCCTCAGAAATTAAATTTCATCCATAATCAAAAAAACAACTGAAAACACTTGAAATATATCACCCTGAGTGTACTTTGTAGTGAATGTTAATTACTTTTGCAACAGCAATCCATATGCCTTTCAATAATATTGTGACATATTGAGATGCACTTGACCCATATTCTTGATATTATGAGCATTTTCATGATTAACTCCATGATTTAGAAAAACTATTAACTAAACACATGGGTACATAGTGATGTTTCCCATCATCATGTCTGTCAGGCCATAATTTCCCCGTTACATTTAAAGCCAGACTGGTCTCTTCTGGCTCTTCAGTGCAGGCAAAGGCATAATAAATAATTCCTTCAAGTAAAAAATCTGGATTTTTTTTTTTTTTTGTCCCAAAACATACAGCACAGTTTTATAACAAAATGCTAACTGGCTTATTACTGATAAATGATGATTGTGTTGGCACTGCTGTATTTTTTTACAGTTCATATTTTTTCTTCATGGTACCATTCCTCTGAGCCTGTAAGCCTTTGGGTCAGCCCATTCAGTTTTTGGATGGACACTAATCCACATAGTGCACCTCAGCCTGGAGCTCCTTAGAGATGTACCCGATAAGAGCCGCCGTGGCCTGCTGCTTCAGCATGGAGTTGCCCATCACCAGAACGGTTAACTGAGCCAGGTCGGTCCACTGAATATCTCCCAGGATCACCATGAGATCATCATACAGCTTCTGCTGCTGCTGAGGGCTGAGCTCCATTATGATCTGTGGAAGCGGTCTGAACTGCCCACTGGTCAGCCAGCAGCCAAGGAGACCACCCACAGCACCACCTAAAGGGAAGAAAAGGTTTCTAATTCTGATGTGGAGGACCGGTGCGCCGCAAAGGTTCATAAGCAAGTTTAACAGACTTACCCACAGCTATACCGAGGGGACCACCCATCAAGCCTCCAGCGAAAGCGAGTCCCCCTGCAGCTGCTGCTCCCTTCCCAGAACCTTTTACTGTGGACTTGATCTGCTGATTGGCAGACAGCTCACAACACAACTTCATCACATCGTCAATTCGAGGGCCCATTCTGTGGATCACAAGTGCAATGTTTGGTTAAATATTATATATGTCTGTATGTGCCTTACAAAGTACCAGAAATACAAATAATCTCAAGTTAGCATCATAGATTGAATTGTGTTGGATGTTTTATTTACAAAAAGAATGAAACTTTGATAGAATTCAGATATTAATAAACAGGACCAGGATATTTCTTATGCAAAAAAAAAACAAAAAACAAAAAAAAACATAACATCACATAAACCAGGATTTTTGAATCCTCAAGAGTTTAAAGCTAATCCAAGGTAATAATAAACAATTAACAACAAACCATCTGGTAAAAACATTAACACAAAGAACTAATGAGCAATATATCACGACAAAAAGGTGCTCTTTAGTAAATTTGTCTATTTTACAGTCATTTTGCTGTAAAAAATTGTATTGTTGCTGTCGTGTCAACAGCAACAATATAAAAATATATTAATATTTGTTAATATTACGACTACTAATGTTATTGTTGTTGATGTTACAACTGTATTTTTTGTGTTAATTCAATAATTATTTTGCAAATTAAAAGTTTACAACAAAAAAAGGACATGTTTAAGTAACTGTGATATTTACAGAAACCTATATGGTACCGAATACACTCTGAGTCCGTATGGTAAAAAAAACCTTACAGCAGTTTATGTTTAGTCTAATCAGGTCAACATTTATACATCAAAGAAGCATAACGGTAAGGCAAAAAAGCTAACACGTTATCAATCGCTCCATGAACTACATCAGATCGTCGAGAGACACAGACAGCGGCAAAAACCTTAGTGAAGATTTATAGCTTACCTTACTGTGGAAATAAGTTGTTACTTATGTATTCACAGCTTATTTTTCAGTGTTTTTAACTCGATCAAACTTTCTGTAAAAACCTTATTCCTAGCCTCCTAGAGGCTCTACGTGATTTATGTGCGCGACTTCTTTTGCTAACATGATTCTTGAGCTTTCACGTGCAGTTTCCATGCCGCAATGCCTGCTGGGGGAAACTTTTATGCTACGTTCAAGAAAATCCGTCATCTCTCTTGTGTCGATCGTTGATCTCGGCTGTGCGTGTTAAAAAGTCGATTTGACAAATAATAGGGTTCAACTCTTTAAATATTTAACTGCCTATGGTTTCTGCTGACATTGAACTGACTGACTGACTAAAACCAACTGGTTGTCAGGTTGGCTTATTATGCGTTTCTGCTTATTTCAAAACCTAAATGAGCAACTTCTCGTTCAAAAACAAGCGCAAAAATATTTACCCGCGACTCATTAAATATGTAAGCGACTTTACAAAAAACAAGCCCAAAAATGCTCATAATAATCGGACTTGGCGACAGAAACTCAAAATAGTTTCTGTTTTTCCAGCAACAAAATGCGCATCTCTCTCCTCCCTCCATTGTTTACATTTCTGTCA